CAATGCTTATATGGTTAAAAGTTGTCGGACAAGTTGTGTAAGAGCCTGTATACTCAGTGACATTAGAAGTGTTACACCCAGAAATTTTTTTTCTTAAACTTGATTTTTTGGCAATGAGGTAGTCTTACATCAAGAATGAAACGATAACATTCTAAAGAAATTTTATTGACAAGTAATAAGAAAAACTAATGTGTTGGACGACCCCGCAGCTGAATACAATGCTAAATACGCCTAGGCATCGACAAAATGAGATCGTCAATTTATGGTTGTGGCACTTCATTCCAAGCAACCCGAACTTCGTGGAATAGCTGTGGCAGAGTCTGTGGCGGTGCAAAGTTTGTAGTCTCCTCCGCATCATAGCCCAAACATGTTCAATGAGATTTAAATCCGGTGAACGGGATGGCCACAGCAAAACATTAACGACTGTTTCTTGAAAAAAGTCGTTAGTATGACGAGCAATATGGGGACGTGCGTTGTCTTGCTGAAAAAGGAAGTGCGGACGGCCTAAAGTGGTTTGTAGGACAGCATCATATGCCTTGAACAAAGACAAGGGGTGATCGGATGCCATAGTCAATAACCTCCCAAACCATTACTCCAACAGTCCTGTGTACATGTCTCTCCACAGCAAGTCCAATATGACGCCGTTCTCCACGGCGGCGTCTAGACCATCGTACTGAAGATGACATTATGCCATTCTGCCTCCCAATGTTACCGTTCTCTGCCTCCAGTTCACAACGTTGACGACAGTGGTCCGCAATCAGAGAAGCACTAACTGTGGATGGTATGAAAAGAATTCAAAAGCTCGAATGCGACGATAGAGTGTACGCATAGTAACAGGTCTACCTTCTTCTCCAAACCATTGGTCAGCGATTCTGACGCGTAGTATCAAAATGGTCTCGTAAGGCTAGTTGCCTGAAGCGCCTATTTTGACGCTCTGAGGACGCCTGGTGGAAAAATTGGCATTCTTCGTATTCCTCTACCTTCTTCTATCCACAAAACGACCACACACTCATTACCGTCGTTGCAGTACAATTAACAGGGTGGCCAATTTTCGCGATAGGACAAACCAACATCTTGATAGGCAATAATTCTACCCCTGTCAAAGTCGCTAACATGGTGATAATTTGGTCGTCTTCGAACTCGAGCATTTGTTATGCTTAACACTAGTAAAGAAAGGGCAATAACTAAAATATATGTACCACTCAGCTCTCAGAACTGCTTTCTTCACAAAAACTAAGAGATAACATTTACACTTAAATGTGCGTTCTCTAACAGCTCACTTTAATGATTTTGCCTCTCTTGTCTTCAATATAAGTTTGATGTTGTACGCGTCACCTGAAACATGGCTGCATTCCAGTATTGACAGCACTGTAGTCAATATACTTGGGTATAATTTCTTCCGTAAGGACCGTGGGAGCAGAGGGGGTGCATCGGTCTCTATGTCAAATTAGATATAGCACTAATCTTATCCCAGTTGAGCTCGATGACTTTATAAATCCTCTTGAAATGTTATGCTATAATTTAAACTGCACGGGTCCAGTATGTTAATTGTTGTTATATATAGGCCACAACATTGCTCTATACATCAAGCATCCAGTGTTTAGAAAATCTTATCTCATTTTTCACCTCCCCAATATGACAAACATTATATTCTTGGCGATATGATGTCGACTTGCTTGCTCATAACAACATCCTCAGCAGCGCTTTGATTCATTCAATTTCATTCAAGTCATTGATGAGCCTACCACGTGTTACAGCCTTCAGTTCCACATTACTTGATCCAATATTTGTAGTGACAATACTATCGTCAAAAGGTCAGGGACACTCAATGCAGACTCAATTAGTGCTCATCGGCTCACATACTGTGATATTTTCGTTTGTTATAAAAAAATAGAGCCTAAAATTTGTAACATATAGAAATCTTAATAGCATGGATATTCAAAGTTTTAAGACGCAGATTGCATCAATGCAGCTTAGTGACATTTATTTCGTGAATGATGTGGATATTAAGTCTCTATTTTTACTGGCCGTCTTCTTTATCTATTCGATCTACTCTACGCTCCGCTACGTACAGTACGTGTCACAAAACCTGCGCGGCCCTGGCTCACTCTAACTTGAAAATGATTTTCAACTCAGAGATGAGGCATTTGCTGTCTATCAGCATAACAGATCTGAACAGAATTGGGCCAGCTACAAAGATTTGAGAAATTATGGCCCTTGCATCGCTTAGAAGAGAAAAAAAAGCATATATGTCACGTTTCCGGAATTTTAACTCTAGTCAAGCTTGGAAAACACCTGAGGAGGATGAATGTGGTAGCCCAGAAACATGTTGCTATACCTCCCAGTCTCCTTGAGCCTAACATTTTAAATAATTATTTTCTTTCAATTTTCCAGACAGCTGCAGCTGATCCAAATTTGATTGATAGTGTCTCTAACTCTTATAGCGATAGACGCCATACACCGGATGCACCTCTGTTTGCTTTTAAACTCCTTAATCAGCAAGACATCGTCAATATAATCTCTCACATTAAGTCTACGGCATGTGGCTCTGATGGTCTAACTTTAAATATGGTTTGCTTATGTTTGCCTGATACCATAGACCATATAACTCACATTATTAATGTCTGTCTCGAAACAGGTTACTTTCCTGCCAGTTGGAAAAATGGTATTATTATTCCAATAGCTAAAACTAATCATCCAGAACAATATTCGGATTTCAGGCCAATTACCTTATTATGCTTTCTATCAAATACTCGAAAGAGCTGTCTACTCACAACTAGTGGAGTTTTTCGAACAAAATCACTTATTTCCTCTACATCAGTCAGGTTTCAGAGCTGGTTTACAGCACTTACTTCGTCTTTATTACATCTTACTGATTCCATCATTCACAATTTGGACAATCACATCAACACCGTCTTGGTACTGTTAGATTCTCGAAAGCCTTTGATATGGTCAATCACCAGATACTACTGAGTAAGTTATCTCATTATGGAATGTCAGATATAGTTCTAAGGTTCTTTGAGTCATACTTGCTAAATCGTCAACAAACAGTGAAAACTGATCAGGAAATTCCCTCCTCTGAGCCAGTTCCTTCAGGAGTTCCTCAGGGATCAGTATTAGGTCCCTTACTTTATCTGATTATACGATCGATCTGCAAGACTGTTTAGTCCACTGTAGTATGCAAACTTATGCAGATGATACTCAGTAGTGTTTGGTTTCGATCCATCAAAGTTGATGAAGTTTCTTTTAAAGTTAATTTAGATTTGGCTAACATCGATGATTACTGTAACAAACACTGCTTGAAGATCAATCCCAATAAAACTACTGCAACGTTGTACTGTTCGAAGAACTCCTACCGTGAAATGAAGCAGAGGATTTGTGTTTTTTTGGATGAGACACTCATCCCTTTTGTGGATTACGCCAAGAATCTCGGTGTTACCCTTGATTTAAATATGAGATTCGATCGGCATGTCTCTTTCTTATCTAGAGTAACGTATTTGCGTTTGAAACTCCTCTATTCTAATCGATACATCTTGAATTTTAAAACCCGAAAAAGCTCGCTGAAAGTCTTGTGTTGTCTGTCATTTCTTACTCTCTTGTTCTGTATTACCCATGTTTAGACTACGTCCACAAAAGGAAACTCCAGAAAATTCAGAACAGCTGTTGTAAGTTTATTTTTGGATTGCGCAAGTTTAGTCGCCTCTCAGATAAAATCAAAGAACTCAACTGGTTGCGAATTGATAAGTTATTTTTATATATTTTGACTGTCTTCACGCATAAAGTTCTACTATCTAACAGACCAGCTTACCTCGCTAGCAAATTAGTTCACTGAGGTAGTTTTGTTACCAGAGATCTTAGATTTTAATACAAATTTTAAACATGCCTCCTCACATATCTCGGTCTTTGAAAAAGTTACACCTATAATGCTGTCAAGCATTACAATGCAGTCAAAATTAAGAAATTAATGAAAAGTCAGCTGTTGGAGTCCATTTAGTTCAGTTTTTCTTGTGCTCATGTGATTTTTTTTTTATTTTTTTGTTTGACTAGTTTTTCTACTATTTTTGTTTCAAATTTAAAACTCTGGCAATACTATCTGCATTTGTCTCGTGCAATCAATGTTGTCATTCTTATGAATTGTATTTTTTTGTATGTTATTATTTTGCTTATGTGTTTAAGTATTATTTTTTCCTGTTGTGGGGTTGAATGTAAGAGTAGCCGTCTGGCTAAACTTCGCCTCACTGCAGTTAATAAAGGCATTATTATTATTATTATTATTATTTTAAGAAAGGTAAGCAAAAACCAAGGCAAAGCGTTGACATTGTTGCCACAACATGCTTTAAATATAGTCATTATGCTGCCAAAAAACAAGTTCTAATGTCACTGAGTATATATAAATATTTCTCCTGTAGCGGTGTGTCAGTGACGCCACCACCGCAGACCAGTTGGAGTTTATTACCCATTGCAAAAACGACAATGCAGCATCGCGCCGTGCACGCAACGCCAACGATTGCCGTTATTTGGAATTATGAGCACATTATACATCGGACTTTTGTCTTTCTAAGTGACACTTTGATGATTACATAAATACGCAACTTTGTTTCCCATTTAATATCTCTTAAAGTTCCGAGATCCCAATGGTGAGGGTCGATTTGAAACATCCGGTATATTGCTGTAACACTGGCGTAAAAATTACTTTGCTAGACCTGAATTGAGGCTATTCGAGCAAGAAGTGCCCTAAGCCCAAAATGATTCGAGGAAAACGCCATTTATGTTTTCTGTTTTTTTGTAAAAAAGGTATTTTTGTTTTAATTTGATTTTTTTTCACTGCAAAAGTTTATATAATATGTCGTATTTTAAATGTTATTTAAATATTATGGAGAAAACGAAATTCGACAAAAAAATGTTGGTTCCACTTTTGAATTAACGATACATTTTCATTGTGCAATGAAATCGGTTGGTTCGGTGGAAAATACAAACAATTTAAAAAAAAGTTATTTTTATTAGTCTCTTAACAAAAGAAATAATAACTCATTTTCGCATTCACTTTCATCGCTATCAGAATAGATCTCATCGTCTTGATCATGAGTTGTTTTCAGGTTTTTATAGAACTCGGAATAAAACATATGAGAGCCAATAGGTCCTTTTCTTTTTTTCTTTTTGATATCATCTTCACGTCCTTTTGGATATAACAGATTCAGCTCTTCAAAACTGTTAGAAGCGTTCCTTTTAGACACGTTAACTGAATCAAATGGAGCAAAATCTTGATTTGAGTATTTAAAATAGATTTTAAATGAATCCGTTTTTAAAGACCAGCCACTGGATTTTCATCCATTCTACTTTTAACTTATTTTGGGAAATTTTTCTTGCTGCCTAAACAAGGGTTTCCCAGCTATCTGGCACAGTGATGTCTTTGAGATATTTCTTTTGTTTTTCAATTACTCCCAAATCCTATTGAGAATTAATTATTTCTATATCAAACTCAATTTTGTATATTTGTGGCTTGGGCCACTCTTGCTCTAATAGCCTCAATTGTAAGACGCGTCCCAGCCCCGCTCGTCAATTGTTGTAAGGGCATTTGTTCTCAGAAGCGCTTTCCACCCCACCTCTCTCTTTTCAATTTTTAATCCCCGGTCAAGCATCTTCATGAAAATAAATGCTGCGCGACTACTCCCTCCCCCTCTCTAGATAGATTATTCCTAAATCCGCCTTTGTTAGAAATTCTGACTTTCTCACTCACACCACTGGCACTGTGAGAAAATCAAAATGATAAATGACACCCTTAGATTTTCGTTTCGGTTGTTTCAATATACACTACATCTGATAAACCTTCTACAGGTATGTGTTCCTTCTTAATTGCGGAAACGTTATGTACGGAAAAAACAATACCGGCAACGCAAACTTTCATTTTTTATAAATTATCATAAATTTGTAAGTCGCGTGTAATGCTTCGCGATCATTTTCGACTCATTAACATAAATAATTAGCAGATGGGATGATATTCTTCTCCTTTTCACAAGCATTCGGATTTCTTCTCGTTAAAAAAGTTGTACGGCTAAATATGGGCTGGCTGCCTACTGAATTAAATTCACTTTCAGTTTGTTTACCTCCAGGTAAGATGGATGGTCACTAAAATATTACTTGTGTTTTCCTCCGGAGATGATCTTATCCATTTTACAAGCTCTTATTATACAGGGTGTTAGAAAAATAGACGGAGATATTTTAAAGGGGAATTCCTCGTTAAGAAATACGAAAAAAGTTTCTATAAACATGGGTCCGGAAACACAGGGTGATAATTAAAAAAAAATTATTATTATCTTGAAAAATATATATACTACGAGCCCCTTCCCACTTCAGTTGGCCCAACTATTGAAATCTTATTTTTTTTCTTATCAAACACAAATAATAAAATATAGGTTCAAAATATTAACAATGAATATTTTGATAATATACAGTAGAAAACAACAACTTTACCACTCCCAAATCAAATTTTTGCAGGATAAAAATAACACATGTTGCAATTACAGCATATCAACCTATTTTCATTTCAATGCAAAATAAGTCTATAACGCATAGGTGGCTGTGAAAAATAAAAGCAATGACAATTGTTTTTATTAATCACAGCTGTCAGAATACGTTTAAAATAGTTTTGGGTAGTTAAGGTTTTCAAAATGGGTAGAGGAAAAGTTATTAGTGAGAAAATTCGGTTACTGATAATTAAATTTTTTAATTCTGGGAAATCAAACTCAGAAATTGAAACTTTGTTAGACTTATCGCGGTGCAGTGTGAGAAAATATTGTTAGAAGATATAACGTAACTGGTCCAGTTAATATTAAGCCACGATATGTGAACAAAAGTAATATCACAAATGCCGACTGAAGAGCATTAAGAAGAATAATCGTGAAAAACAGGAGTGCCAATTATTTACATTAAGTGCTCTGTGGAGTGACGCTGTTGGAAGGAGAATTTCGAGGTCCAAAACTCATAGAGAGGCCCACAAACTGGGATTTAGCACTTGCAGGGCAAGTTTTCTTATAAAAAAAGTTAAGTAAAAACCCTAAAGTTGCACAACTTGTTTATAGACCAAAGAAAATTAACTATTAACTCCACTGCAAAAGAAAAATCGGCTTAGATGTGCTAAAGAACATAGACAATAGACACCTCAACAATGTTGTGCAATACAATGTAGTGATGAGGCCCGATTCGAAGTTTGTGTTGGTGACAGTCGCAGTAGAGTTATTCGCAAAAAAATGAAGCATTCCATGTTGACTGTCTGAAGAGAAAAGTGAAATTTCCAGCATCCATTATGGTCTGGGGCAGTATGTCATCAAAAGGAGTAGGAAAACTTCATTTTATTGATGGAAATGTGATGGAAATGTGCATACAAACAAATATTTGGCAATTTTAGAACAATCCCTTTTACCAGTGATGGAAGAATGATTGACATCCGGCCAAGATTTTGTGTTTCAGCAAGATGGTGCAACGTGCCATACCTCAAAAAAGGCTATAAAATGGATGGAAGAAAATAATGTACCACTTTTGAAATGGGTTTCTAGCAGTCCAGATCTGTCACTTATTGAAACTTTGTAGCACGAGATGAAAAAGGTTCTACGACAACATCCTGCTCGTACAATCACCGAACCGAGACAAAAGCTTCAAGAAATATGGGATTGTTTTACACCAAATTTTTGCCAAAACTTAGTTAACATTATGCCCCAAACAATTTCAGCCGTAATAAAAAATAAAGGTGATGTTACCCAATGGTGATCTTTCAATTGTTGCTTTGTTAACTTTGCGCATTTATTCGCACATTGTTTATTTGTTCAGATGTTCTATTAGTTATAGGTCTAAGTGATTTCAAATATGTATTTTTTACGACTAGAGTGTATCTAAAATGTTTTTGAGAAAATAAATTGTTTTAGAAGTAAATAGTTTCATGTTTAGTTTATAAAGGCATATTTTGGCACAAATCTTGAAGTGGGCCAACTGAAGTGGGAAGGGGCCCGTATATATATATATATATATATATATACAGGGTGACTTTAAAGTTAATTCATTAATTTTCAGATAATAATTGTAGAAGGAAGATAAACCAAAATATGTGTGTAAAAATAAAAAAAAAATTTACCTTGTTTTATAAAGTATCCTCCCGACAAGTATTTCATTGCGGACCTGTATTTGATCGTGAGGTCCGAAGTCACCTGATTCACGAGCCCGTTGTACTACATTAACAAAGTCACGAGGGGTTGGTTGCACTCGATTGGGAAACCGATCCGCATAAACATGTGCCATTTTTTATTTCGTTTGAGCCACGCAACAGACACTATTCACACGCCTTACCGACTGACACTGACTGTATGTATAACTGAACTGAATAAAATAATTGTAAAAACATCGTTCCAAATTCTTTCGCTTTTTTGTTTCCGATGCGATGAACCGATAAGGCGGATTATATCCGTTGTCGCCAAACACGAGCACATAATATTATTATTGAGACAGGGCGGTACTCAAACTTCCAAAGGGCTATAACTTGGTTACTTTAATTTTACCAGAAAAATGGTAAAGGAAAAAAACATTTCTTTTGATCAGATCTACTCACTGTTAAAATAAATGACTCAACTTCGAAGTCACCCTGTATATATATATATACAGTGAAAGCTCTCCTTGCGGACAGTTCCTACAAGCGGACATCTCTTTTAACCGGACAAAGTTCCTGGAACCGAATTTCAGCCATCAATTTTCAATGTTAAATGCATTCCGATAAACTGACGCTCTTATAAACGGACGCGGACACTAGATTTTCCTGTATGTGATCAAAAAATCTCCCATAAGCGGACGCGAAACTCTAATACCCGGACGATTTTTTAGTTCCGCTTATTGCAATGCACATATCTACATACATAAAATTCGGTAATTCCCCGATTTATATTAGGTGATTCCCCATTTACGCATTTCGTTGGGTAGCCTGTATGTAATCTTGTGGCTTGTCTTCAGTTCAGGCAAATTCGTAATTGATTGAGTTACGTATTTTATTATTGTAACTGTAAAATGGCACCAAAAAAAAGGATGCTCTCGTTAAAGAAAAAGATGGAAGTTGTTAACGTATTAGACAGAGAAAGTGTTTCAGTTCGTCATTTGGCAAAGAGGTTTAATATTGGGAAAATGCAAGCAGCTGAAATTGCCAAAAATAAGGAAGATATCAGGAGTAAATGGCAATCAGGAACTAATATAAATCAAAAGAAGGATTTTTTAAAAAAAGGAAGGTTTTGCTATAGTCAAAACATGTTTTGAGTGGTTTGTGAAAGCTAGAAGTCAGAACATTCCAATCTCAGGGCCGTTAGTGAAAATGAAAGCTAAAGAAATCGCCACTACTTTGGGCTATAATAATTTCAGTGCGTCCGACGGGTGGCTGCAAAAGTGGCGCAAGAGACATAGTGTGAGTTTCAAATGCATATCTGGCGAAGCTGTTGCAGTAGATCAAGTTGATGTGTCACAATTTTTGGAGAAACTTCCGTCCATGTTGCTTGGCTACAAACCAGAAGATGTGTACAACGCAGATGAGAGTGGAATTTTTTTTCGCGCATTGCCCGACAAAACTCTGTCCTTTAAAGGAGAAACATGTGTGGGTGGAAAGTTGTCTAAAGATAGACTAACCATTTTATTCTGTGCAAATATGGCCGGTGAAAAATGCGATTTGATTGTGATCGGGAAAGCGGCTCGTCCCCGTGCTTTAAAAAACGTTGCTATTAAGGATCTACCAGCGACTTGGAAATCCAACAAAAAGGCATGGATGACCCGAGAAATCATGTCTGAGTGGTTAGTCGAATTCGACCGGAAAATGAGAATCCAAAAAAGGCAAGTTCTTTTATTTTTAGACAATGCATGCTCTCATCCTCGTGATATGAAAATGAAAAATGTGAAAATTATATTTTTACCGCCAAACACAACTTCTGTTTGTCAGCCCATGGATCAAGGTGTCATACAGAACTTTAAATTTTATTATCGGCACTTGATTATAAAACATATTTTAACAAAAATTGACGATGGTCAAAGCTTATCTGAGCTTACAAAGACTATCAATGTGTTAGAAGCTTTGTATTTTATAAAAACAGCATGGAATAAAGTAAATTCCTCTACAATTAAAAACTGGATTCAGAAAAAGTGAATGTAGCTCAGAATTTGCTGAGCAAAATTATTGCGATGCTGAAGACGATCTGCCCTTAGCGACACTTGCTCAGTTAC